GGGTAAGCTGGGACACAGTGAGAGAGTAGCATGGACATATATACATTACCAAATGTAAAATCGATAGCTAGTGGGAAGCAGCCGCATAGCACAGGGAGATCAGCTCGGTGCTTTGTGACCACCTAGAAAGGTGGGATAGGGAGGGTAGGAGGGAGGGAGATGCAAGAGGGAAGAGATATGGGGATATATGTATATGTATAGCTGTTTCACTTTGTTATAAAGCAGAAACTAACACACCATTGTAAAGCAAATACACTCCAATAAAGATGTTAAATAAAATAAAATAAAATAAATAACTGCATAATATTCCACAGAGTTAATTTAGTTAATTGCACTAGAAAAAGAGAATAGCTCATTTAAGATTAATCCAATAGTGTGGCACTTGCTTTTTAAGAGAATTGAAAATTTTGTGTTTTCTATAAAATGTGTATATATTAAGTATGCACACAGGTCATTTGGCTCCTAATAAGATTTAGACTCCTTTCCAACATCTTTTTTTAATTGAAATAAAGTAAGTAAAGCAAAGAGTAACCTAGAAAAGATGTGATTTTTTAGTGCTAAATAGTGACAAAAGGTCTAACCTGAAAATCTGCTTCAATCAATAAAATGTATTTTTCCTGTCATAACGCCATACAATTTTTTTCCAGAGCACTTCCATTAGATTAAAAATTTGAGCTATTAATCTATCATCACACTACACACCTTGAAGAGTTTCTCTAAGAATTATGACAGATTTGAGCTAAATACCTATCTCTCTTTTCCAGTCTGTGGTATGGCCTAATGATATTCATTTTAACCATAGCTGGCAAAGATTAGGGACATCACTAATTTTCCTACACAGCTAAATATGTAGTTATGGTAGAAAAATAATAACTCCAATATACTTTTAGTGATAAATGCTAACTTATAAAATAATTACTATGTAATATATTCAAAGAGGAATAAAAATCTGCAAGGACACTGACAAGAAAAAGTATATAACAATCAAATCCAGAAGATATTCCAAGTGGCTTAACATAAAAGGAAGAAAATTCTGGAAAAGTACATATTATTTACACTCAGCTAGTATGTTTTATACCTGATACTGTTAACGAGACAGGACTGCCCTACCAAAGGTCTGCTATGGAATATCCAGAAGACATATCAGGCACTGTGAGAAAAAAAAAATCATCTATCCAAATTTAACACATTCTAGGTGAAAATATAATTTGAAACCCTCAATCTTTTGTTTCGAAATTCATAGTCATAAAGCAAGGCTTGTATTAAAATTCATTTGGCCTAAAGACAAGCAAAACTTCTTCACTGAGAACTACAAAGCACTGCTGAGAGAAATTAAAAGACAGACTAAATACTGTTAAGATGTCAATTCTCTCTCATATAGATTCAACATCCCCATGATAATCCCAAAAGGTTTTTCTGAGGAAACTGATATACTGATTCTAAAATATATGGCAATGTAAAGTATCTAGTACATCCAAAGCAATCTTGTAAATGAAGAACAAAGTGGGAGGGCTTACAGCACCTATACTGTGTGACTAGCATAAAGAGTGACAAGTAAATCAACAGAACAGGATAAACCCATATTTCTACAGTTATTTTATTTTCAACAAAGGCAACAAAACAATTCAGTGGACAAATAAAGTCTATTCAGCAAATAGTGCTGAAATAACTAGATATCCATATAGATAAAGGAGAATGAACATTGGAATCTACCTCACATCATATACAAATATTAATGCATAATAGATCATAGACCTAAACAAAACAGCTCAAATCATACAGTTTTTAAAGAAAAATATAAATAAGAGTATCTTCATAAGTTGAGGGCAAAGGTTTTTTAGATGAACAAAGTAATAATCATAAAGGTAAAAAGTGATAAATTAGACTATAAAAATTTTAAACTTGCTTATCAAAAGGCACTATTAAGAAAAAATGGTAAGCCTGGGATTGGAGGAAAAAAATTGTAAAACATACATCTGACATTGACTGGTATCCAGAATATATAAAGAATTCCAACAAGTCATCAATAAAAGGAGAAAACAATCTAATTTTTTTCATCAGCAAAAGATGTGAACAGACTCTTCACCAAAGAAAATATACATGGCCAATAAGCTAATGAAAAAGTACTCAATATCATTAGTCATCATGGAAATGCAAATTAAACCACTCTGAGATACCACTACATATCCACCAGAATAGCTAAAATTAGCAAGACCAACAAATACCAAATGTTGATGAGGATGTAGAGCAACTAGAACTCTCATATGTTGCTGGTAGGAATGTAAAACGGTACCACTTTAAAAGAAAATCTAGTAGTTCCCTATAGAACCAAATATACTATTACCCTAGTGACTCAGCAGCAAATCTATTCCTGAGTAATTATCCATGAGAAATAAAAACATGTTCACAAAGACTTATACAAAAATATTAACAGCAACTTTATTCACAGTATCCAAATGAAAGAAAACAGCCTAGACGTCCACCAATAAGAAAACAGATAAATCATGGAATGTTAATCAGCAATAAAAAAAATTAACTAATACATGAAAGAATCTAAAAAATATTATACTGAGTGAAAGAAGTATTATATAAAACATAACGTACATATGATTCCATTAATAAGAAATTCCAGAACAGGAAAAACTTAATCTATAGTAGAAAAAAAATCATAATAAGGGTTACCTCTCGGAGGGTAGGAGCAGAGAGTGACTACAAAGAGGCATAAGGGAATTTCTTGATAGAGAACTGGGTTACGAACATTTATGCACTTTTCAAAACTCAGCAAATGTACACTTAAGATTTGTGCATTTCACTGTATGAAAATATTTACAGGTAAAGGCAAAAAATTCTAAACTATTGAATTCTAGGTGATGGTATGCATGTTGAAATATTTATGGGGAAACATATTGATGTCTGCAATTTACTTTTGAAATGCATTCAAAAAGCAGATGAAGCAATGGATAGACAAAAGAATGGATAAGGTGAAAAAGAGAGTAAAATGTTAATGATAAAATCTAGGTGGCGAGTATATGGGTAATTATATACTATACATTTAAAATTTTTCATAATAAAATTTAAGAAAAAAAATCAGTCTATCCATGGGGGTGAACTATATCACAGACAGCTAAAGAAACTGTAAATGAATTAACACATTCATATGGGTTACATATTAAATAATATGAAAATATTCACAGTATTGCAGTTTTCTGGTATTTTTAATATTGGTCATGGTCTCTGAGGGCCAAAGGAACCTCTAGGTTGACTACCTAATTCCCAAAACAAAAAAGTTCTGTTACCAAACCTATAAGTAAGCAACCAACCAATGGTACAGTTACAATCACCTACCCTCATTGACTAGGCAGTAAAGAAAGAAATTATATAAAATTCCTTAACAATAAATTTGAGAACCCACGATGGAGATTATAATCAAATGAAGACATAACAAATATAAAAATACTGATGAAAGGCTAGCATAACAATGGGATATATCAACTCTAAGAACTCTTAAATCCTTTTCTTACACATTGAGCCTACCATTTTATAATTAACACTTACTATAATCTCTTCTATAAGACAGAAAAAAGAAAATAATTTGGAAAAGTTTCAGGACAATGTTTGTAAATAGAACCTTAGAAAGTACTCAGAAAAATCATTACTTAACCTTGAGAAGAAAATAATAGTCTTGAAGCACTCAATCTACAGAAAAAGTTATTCTCCATAACTTGAGTACAAATGAAGATTACATTTAAACTAAACCACGAGGGACTTGAGTTAGATATTAAAATATCTTTAACATAAGAGAGTGTCAAACATTAAGGAAACTCCCAAGGAAGTTTGTAAAATTCACCCATGTATTTATAAAAAGGATAGATAGAACGTTGACTATCATCAATAATAAGCGCAGTCCGTACAACACTGTAAATCAACTATACTTCAATTAAAAAATAATAATAATAATAAGTGAGGTCCAACCTGTAGACGTAGTTAGCCTCAAATCCCTCAAACTTAATTCTACATTATTATTTGACATTAGGTGTTTCAATAATAATTACAATTATCAGAACTTTCTTACTGCACAATGGAGAAAAAAAAAGTAGCCTACTAGAAAACAGAAGCATATACTTTATTTTAGCTTCCCTCTTTGGACAAACCTATGATATTGAAAAGAGATGAAATTTTTTTTTAAGATTTTTTTTTTGACGTGGACCATTTTTTTTAAGTCCTTAATGAATTTGTTACAATACTGCTTTTGTTTTTTATGTTTTTATTTTTTAGCCCTGAGGCATGTGGGATCTTAGCTCCCTGACCAAGGATCGAACCCACACCCCCTGCGTTGGAAGGCGAAGTCTTAACCAATGGACCGCCAGGGAAGTCCCTGAGATGAATTTTTTAAACTCCCAAGTCTGTAATTTTTAACTAAAAACCTCACAGTCCCTGTGAGGTAGTAATCTTTTTAGATACTACCACAGGGCAGAAAAATAGCAACAGAGATATCCCAGAATCATGTATACAGCTAACCTACCTGAAAGATAGGATCCTACATTAAAATTTTTTAAAGGAACAAAATTTTATTTATATTTAAAGTGTTTTACCTTGTGCTAAACAGAGTTAGGCATTTACTTTTTCATAAGACAACGAACAAAATTATATTTCTCCACCTTAAGCAAAGGGTGGAAGTCAACTGAGCAAGAGCCAAAATTAACAATGACAATTTAACATTTTATCTGGGAAAAGAAGATGAAACGACCTATTTCCGAATATGCCCTTAGTCTAGAGGATGGGATACAATACTCCATATTCTAATGTGTGCATAGGAACAATTATTTCCTGTGTTAACCTTATGTAGTATAAATTATCCTAATCCTACTAGGATTAAAGTCATAATATTGATTACATCTTTATATTTTATACCCCATAGAGTTTTAAAAATCAGATTGTTTACATGTATCTACTCCATAGACAGAGTAAATTATGTACAGCCTAGGGTTTAATGCACTTACAGTTCCTTGTGTTTCTCTTCAGCCAAGATTTGGTCATTCAGTTTAAGAGAATACCTGTTAACACAGAAACAAAAATATACTGGTCATATAAACATACGTTTGCCTCATGGACATCTGACTGTGATATCAACATACAGCCAGTTGACCCCTATCAAATAAACACTACTACACTGTTAACAGGTTTCTATCTTAATTGATAAAACATTTAAAACTGCTTAAGTTCTTTTTTTTTAGTATTTATTTATTTATTTAGGATGCACCAGGTCTTAGTTGAGGCACGTGGGACCTTCATTGCAGCATGCAGCATCTTTTAGTTGCAGCATGCAGACTTCTTAGTTGCGGCATGCATGCGGGATCTAGTTCCCTGACTAAGGATCGAACCCAGGCCCCCTGCATTGGGAGCACGGATACCCAATGGACCACCAGGGAAGTCCCCCAAAGTGCCTAAGTTCTTTGATGGTCTATTAGTCACTTCCACAGACACCACCTCAAGAACTAAAGGGAGATGAACTTGATCATGCTTTAAAAATATGAGTTATCTTCAATATTCTTCTGTAGTGAATCATCTGTTACTTTCATGCAGCAGTTCAAAATTCAAGAGACTACTAAAATGTTAAGTATTTAATAGTTCACAAAACAATATGAAGTTATTCTTTTATTAAATACATAGCAAACATCTATGTGTACCAGACTATGTACTAGGTAGTGAGACATATGAGGAAAAGTAAGTTTTGGAGTTCTTGACTAAACCATTTACTAGCTTAATGACCACAGCCAATTCTTTCACCTCTTTAAGTCTAAGTTTCCCTGGCTATAAAATAGAGGCTACCATAAATATTAGAACAGGGATCTTCCAATATCATATATTTATACTATTGAAGGTAAACAGACTCTCTGAGGAGTACACTGAAATAGATAAACAACAATGGACAGGTCTCCAATTTCCACTTGTATTCATTCCTTTCCTAAAACTAATCTGCCTGACAATGGATCAGAGGTCTAAACGGAGAGGTCATCCAAATTCTCCTTACTTGACTCCCCTTCCACAAGTCTTTACTCACTTTATAAAAAGAATGGCATACCTCTCGTCCATCCTGAATGAAACCGTACTGCATTGCCTAGATATAAAAATCTCTGAAGTATTAAACAAGGAATGATTCATAATATTTTGTCTGCAAAGCCTTCTTTACTTAAAGTACTACAAACTGACTATAGGGCTTCCTGTTCTATAATTACTGTAAAGAATGAAGATAAAAATTAAAAATGAGTAATTGTGATAGGATGTTCTATTTTCAGATATATTATAGAATGGGGCAGAAGTTGGTTACAATTTTCATTTTAAAAGTTCATCATTTCTAGCCCATGTTCATCATCAAAGATTACATTACTTTTCAGGGAGAGTTCTGTGAAGCAAAGCTCAGAGAGTTTCTAAAAAGGACAAGAAAGACAGTTCTTCCAAGCAACACACTTTTTTTTTTTTTTTGCGGTACTTGAGCCTCTCACTGTTGTGGCTTCTCCCGTTGCGGAGCACAGGCTCCGGACGCGCAGGCTCAGCGGTCATGGCTCACGGGCCCAGCTGCTCTGAAGCATGTGGGATCTTCCCGGACCGGGGCACGAACCTGCGTCCCCTGCATCGGCAGGGGGACTCTCAACCACTGCACCACCAGGGAAGCCCCAAGCAACACACTTTTAAAACAAGTCTCCTTGCCTTCCATTTATCTACCAAGGATTAAATATCAAACATGGCTGTCACAGGAACACAAATCAAATCATTTATTTGAACTGAAAAATAAAGTCAGACTTCTTAGATCATGAAAGTCAATCTGATTGTTTTGACAATGAAAGAACAGTTTTGCCAGCAAGGTTCCAAGGCAGACAATGGCTTTAACCTGAATAAATGGCTTTGGTTAAAACATGTTTAAGGCAAAAAAAAAACAAAAAAAAGAAAACATGTTTAAGGCATCTGATAAAAACATCTTATCAAAAAAATATCCTTTTGACATAGGTATACTGAAGTTAACAATATTTAGCTTTTCTCAATAGCTCCTGAACAATGCCTATAAGTAAAACACTAATAGATATAATTACTACCTAATATAATTATATTAATAAGACTTAATAAAGCCTTTTTTGGTATACATCCCAGAACTGCATGTCTCTAATGACTCTAATGACCCTGGCAAGTCAGGTGGTTTCTAGTCTTTGCTTTCAACGAAACTGAAGAAGGACTTAATCAAATTACCAGCTGACAGATAAATAAAAATAATTTTGATGATAAATCATCTGATGACAGAAGAGTTCAAATAACTGAGTGACAACTACTGAAACAAAACTGTGCATTACCATTCAATTAATTATGTAAACAAATTGCTCAGAATTTACACCTCTTAAAGAAAAAAGGGGGAAATAAAATTGATGCTGACCATTGTCTTATTGCAGCATTGAGTATTATTTATCTACAAAAGGTTGAATTAATTGAAAAACATTGAAGATCAGCTTCACCCATCTCATGCTTCACCCAAACATGCATTTCCAAAATAACTTATTTTCTTGTTTAATAATGATTTAACATTTTAATACGTTTATGTTGTTTTACTAACTATATGCTAATTACAATTTAAAATCTAGGAAATTTTTTTTAAACTTGACTTCACATATATATATGTTGCAGAGACATACAATAGGTGATCAATATGCACGAAAGGCTTTCATGCATAAAAATATATTGCCTTCATAATGTATGCATAGTATATTACATGCAAAACATAATCCATGCATAAAAATACACCACATAAGGATAAAATCTGGTGGGGAAAAGTGTAATAGAGATACGAATTTAAACAGAGAAAGGAATATAAATTTTTTAAATGTTTAAAAAGAGCCTGTTTGTGTCTTTTTATAAATGAATCATGGTAGATATCAAACCACAATGGTATTTAGTATGCACTAAGAGTGATTTATCAGTTTTATTTAACATTACAATATAAAAATCATAAATATTAATTTAATGAGTGAGGAAGTACTTGTTCATCGAAACATTCTTATGGGGCTTCCCTGGTGGCGCAGTGGTTGAGAGTCCGCCTGCCGATGCAGGGGACACGGGTTCGTGCCCCAGTCTGGGAAGATCCCACATGCCGCGGAGCGGCTGGGCCCGTGAGCCATGGCCGCTGAGCCTGTGCGTCTGGGGCCTGTGCTCCGCAACAGGAGAGGCCACAACAGTGAGAGGCCCGCGTACCGCAAAAAAAAAAAAAAAAATTTTTATGGAAGCTAAAAAGTTTCAACCAGTGGATTTGATGATATCTATGTCTTAGCAAAGTGCTTGGTACATATAAAATAGGACCTCAATGTTACTTTCCTTCTTTCTCTAGCTGGTTAGTAAAAGAGAAAGAACAAACATTTCTTGCCCTTAAGGACCTCACAATTCAGTAGACAAATCAGAATAAAAGTAACTGCTCATAGTGTGATAAGTATTACAATAAAGTTAAGTATAATGTATAATGTTTATTATAATAAAGAAAAGAGGGAGTAATAAGTCCCCTTCATAAGAGAGTCAAAAAACGGACAGCTTTTATCTGTTGCCCAACTTTCTCTTCCTCTCCTATTTCATCTCTTCTTTGCTCCTTCCCCATGAACAACCTTCCCTTTTAAAGTCTGAGGACAAGAATTTGAAGGGAATAGTGAAGGTGGCCCGTAAAAAAGATCCATAGTATAGGCAAGAAGCAGACTAGGATAGCCTAATTGTGATCAAATCACCCAAAGGGAAATTCTACTCGCCAGATTCACAGAGTACATCTTCAGGTCCTCAACAATAAATTTGCAAGATCCATTTTGCACTATCCTCCAGGCAAATTAGTTCTCTAACCCCAAACTTCAAAATGTTCAGTCTTCCCATAGTATTTCTGTCTCTGATCTGATTTTCCCCTGCCCCAAACCAGGGAATTTTCCATCAGATCTCAATAACCTTTACATTTCTTCATCTTTGCTGCTTTTTAACAATTTTATCTTGCTTATCTCTTCCTTGACTCTTGCACCCTTCTTCTTAAGAACCTGACCTATACATATACTACCCAGAATCAGTCAGACTGCTAGGTTTGAGGACACAGTTATATACTAAAAGGACTGCCTCAAATTTATTTCGGAAGTAGGCAAGATATAAATTAGAATTATAAATGTAAAAGTAAATACACCATCAGGTCCATAATTCTTACTAATGAAATGGAGCTATTTCTCACTGAAACATTTAATGTTAATGTTTGTTAAATGTTTGTTTAAATGTGGGGCTATAATTATATGTAGTTCTTATTTTCATTTAATGTATGCTGTTCTGCCAACCTAACTGCTGTTGGCAGAAAAAAAAGATACACAGCCTTTTGAATCTATTACATTTAACTTATTCTCTGAGTATTCAGTTTTAAATTAATAAACGTCAAAAGGAAAATTCAACTTAGTAGGAAGTAGAAAGTAGAGCGCTATATTTCAACTTTCTACTACGTCTTTTCCAGAATAATACAAAGCACAGACTATTTTTTAGTTGGGTTTTGTTTCCTAAAAATATGATTAAACAGATGTTCTACTTTTATATCCATTTCTTGATTCAAACATGAACATAGTCCCTAAAAAAGCCAGAGACAGCAAAATGGTATAGTGGTAGTTCTCAACCTTTTTTCTACCTGAATTTACCAGAAGGAAAAGAAATACACACCAATCAGCAGAAAATGAGGAAGCAGGAGAGAGCACAGGGAAGGGTCCTCTTTACCCTGCCTCTAGTCTCCACAAAGAGAGCCTCTGAGTCAATGAAACTACATTAGATTGAAAGTCAAAGACCTGTGTCATTGTCCTGATTCTGCCATTAAGTAGACAAGCCATTTAATTTCTCTAAAGAGGATAAAACTACCTATGTGACAGGGTTGCTATGTGGATCAAAAAAGATAATACTTCAGGGGGCTTCCCTGGTGGCGGTGCAGTGGTTAAGAATCTGCCTGCCAATGCAGGGGACACAGGTTCGATCCCTGGTCTGGGAAGATCCCACATGCCATGGAGCAACTAAGCCCATG